ATTATCTTTTATAGCAGTCATGATAATAACCCCTTCCTAAAACAGATTTTTTGGTTTTAAATTTTTTAGGCAGTTTGGGAGGGGAAACTCAAATATTTTTCCTGAGTTCTCTGAGTCCTTATTGTCTTCAGCTCGAAATAATCCGCATACCAGAGTGGTGCTTCCTGGGGCAGCTTGTCCTGAGCACCATCACCCTCCTATCTCCTTATTCACATCCCACCTCTGCTCTTTAATCTAAACAGATTCTGATGTATTTCTGGCACATGAGATTTGTACTGGACCTCGACAGCTTACCACTGAGAAAGGAGAAGAGTTTATCCTGAGAATTGTTTTATTTTTATGAATATGGATGAAATATATTTTATTACCATTCTGAATTAGATCTGGAACATTATGATTGTTGATGACTGTTGATTTAGAATGAGAGCAAATGTTTTTAAAAACAAATATTTGGCATCTATTTTAATCCTCAGGAAACGAATACAGCTGAGTTAAAACACCTTTTGCTCACAAATGTAAAAGCTCTTCATATTCAAATAAAGAAATTAATTAAACCTACTAAGAAATGTTTCCTAATATCATACTCTCTGGATCATAGTCATGTCTTCAAAATGGCGTTTTCTCCATGGTTGTGAGTCCTCTTTAGAAATTGGTAAATGAGCCCTGAAATCGTTCCCTGTCATCCACACTCTCACACGCTCTCACTCTGTCTCACAGGCACCTTCCCAGTCACATACGTTTCTAGAATTTTCTCCCACATGCAGCTGCACATAATCCCACCTCCTCATGTGAATGTCCACACTTGTAGTGACTGCCCCTAGCTACACCTGCTCACAGGTTTTCAGTCTTATCCTGTCTCTCCATTTTTCTCACACAGAAACTCCACCTCAGACACACACACCCTCTCTCAGTCAGCCCCTCCTTTGCCTCACGTTTCCCTTAAAACAGAAACGGTTTCTCTCTTTCAGACTCATCTGCTCTCTTTGCAGATGCCTGTCATCTCCTGGTTGGTCCCCCTGTGCTGTCCTTCCTGCCACATGGGACCCAGCACCCCCTTCCTGCCAGTTTGTGTAACTTGCCCTTTAATATCAGAGGGGAAACCCACCCACACACCACATGACGCCCCAGCTCAGGGGTTGCAAACAAATGACCCAGGTTTCTGCTTGTTTTGTTAAATACAGTTTTATTAGAACTCAGCCATTCTCATTTTATACTGTCTGTGGCAGCTTCCACCTCCAAAGCCAGCATTAAGTAGCTGTGACAGAGACCATCAGGCCCATGAGCTTAAAATATTTACAATCTGACTCTTTGAGAAAAAGTTTGCTCCTTGCGACTCCTCTGTGCTCTGTGGGTGCCCACCACCCACCCCTTCTGCAAGCCCATAGTGCCCCCAACCCCTGGGAGAACTCCACACTCCTTATGGGTTTGCAACAGGATTGTCACTATTGAGCTTGTCTTCATGTTTTTATTCTACTTCTAAGAATAATTCTTTAACTTTTTGTTTCATTCACATGATTTTAATTCAGTTTGTATATTTATAATTTCAAAGAGCACTGTTTAATGTTTGCCCCTTAAAATACAACTTGAATGGACATTTTCAAGCACACGAAGTCATAGGCGATAGTATCATCACCCCACCCGCACACCCCAGGAACACCCTGCCTACTTTCAACCATCGTTTACCTTGAGCAGATCTAGTTTGTTCTAAACCCCCTCACAATTCCTTCCCCAGGAGAAGTAGGGATTTTTTTTTAAAGTTATTCCAGTCTTTATTACGGTTTCCCAAATTCTTGTATTATAACCCACAGGATCACTCTTAAAATCTACTTCCTACAGTTTTCTAGTGTTCCGTATGTCTTACACCCTATAGCTCCCCAAATACCCTTTTTCTCTCCACACCACGCCCTGAACTTCCCCGCCACCTCCCCATGACAAAGGCCTTCTCGTGACCCTTGAATTGGTCCAGCACGGCTCCCTCAGCCCTTTTTCCTTCCCTCAGCCACCATCATTGTTTTTTTTTTTTTTTAAATTTTTTGTTTATTGCAGTAACATTGGTTTATAACATGGTATAAATTTCAGGTGTACATCATTATAAGAAGTAGGGATTTTAAAGTGATCGTTGAACTTTGGCTAGGAACAGTGGGATGTTACTGTTAAGAGATTGACTATAATGCTTTTAAGGGGTAAACCCTGCAACAATTAACCCAATGTGTTCAAAGGGGAATGAACACTAGGGGCAGAGCTCACGGTATGACTCCTGCAGAATTGCTTCTGTGTTGCCTTGAGGAACGTTCCAATTGACCTCTTCAAATTCCCCCTCTCATTGCACACCTAAATGTAATTAAGAATCCTTAACTCCAAGCATCTTAAAGATTAGTGATCATTTGAGAGTGTGATCAAAACAGACATGTTAAAAATGGCCCCGTGGTGGATGTGGCTGGATCTCCACTCAGATCCCCTCTACCTGGGCGTGCCCTCAGCCCCACCTGCAGGGACAGACTCTCCAGTCTCTAAAGAACTGCCCTGGGCTGACAGCAACGTTCTGACAAACTCCAGAATGGGAGAAAATCTTCTTGAATCTTATACTGATAAGGGATCAATACCCGGAATATATCAAGTACTCCTCAAACTAACAACAAAAGACAACCCAATACAAAAATGGGCAAAGGACTTGAATAGGCATTTTTCCAAAGATATACAAACTGCCAATAAGTCTGTGAAAAGATGTTCAACATCAGTAGTCATTGGGAAAATGCAAATCCACACCACCATGGCATCCCACTTCAAACCTGCTAAGATGGATATACAGTACTCCAAAAATGGAAAAGAACAAGTGTTGGTGATGATGTGGAGAAACTGGAACCCTAGTGCATAGCTAACGGGAATGTAAAATGATGGGGAAACTGTGGAAAAGTGTTTGGTGATTTCTCAAAAGGCTGAACATGGAACTAACATATGGCACAGCAATTCATTCCTAGGTAAATATGCAAAAGAATTGAAAGCAGGGACTTGACAGATATTTGTACATAAATGTTCCTAGCAGCGTTATTCACAATAGCCAAAAGGTAGAAACAACCCAAATATCCATCAATTGATGAACGAATAAACAAAATGTCGTATATACAGGGAATGGAATAGATATCTGCCATAAAAATTAGTGAAATATTGATATATGCTACAACATGGAATGACCTTGGAAACACGATGCTTAGTGAGATAAGGCAGATACAGAAAGATAAATACTATATGATTCCACTTATATAAAGTACAAAGAACAGGTGAATTCACAGAGACAGAAAGTAGAACAGAGGATGTCTTGGGCTGGGAGGAGAGAGGAAGAGAGGTTATTCTTTTACTGGGCACCAAGTCTTTGTTTGGGATGATGAAAAAGTCTTGGGTACAAATAGAGCTGATGGTTGCACAACATTGAATGTGTTTATTGCCACTGAATTGTACACTTACAAATGGTTAAAATCAGAAATGTGATGTTATGTATATGTTATAACAATAAAAAAGTTTTTGAAAATGGGTAACTGGTAAATGATTACTAAATATAGTAATCATGGATCGTAAGGAGGGTGACTTCTATATATTCACCCTTTCAACAATTCAAGACCAAAACCTAGGAGCTCTAGAATCCCTAAGGATCAGCAATAAGGGGCTAAAAGTGGGGAAACATGAAGCAAAAATATGAGAGATCTGCATCACCCATAGACGAGTATCTAAAAAGGCAGTCATGTAAAAAGTAAAAATGGAATTCAGCATGTAAAGGATGACAAAAGTGACCATCAGCATCAGGATGGTGTGGGAAGCTCTGGTCTCTGGAGGGCATTTGTGGTAGCGATTGGGGGTGTGGATATGCTGCACTCTCTGGCGGTGTCTGTGCAGGAGAAGCACCATGGAACCGCTGGACCAGCCCATGAGGCCAATGAACATGGCATCGGAGATGGACCACAGGGTGACAAGGTGTGTAGCGGACCTTGATGGTGAACAGAACCAATTCCTTTGTAAGTCAGTATCATTTCCCATGTCTTGTGGACCAGTGATTTTCACGGGAATATACATATGCAATAAGAAACTGAACATCCAGCAGGTACAACAGGAAGGACCAATGACCTTGGAGGCTCT